TTACAAACGGAATGACAAAGTTAATATACCCTCCATACCTTTTTTGGTGGAGGGTATAAAAATAAAAACAAATTTTGCACTACTTTAATGAGTAAATAACCAAAACCATTAGAAAAGCAGTAACATGAGATACATACACGAAAGGTTTGTCCTTCGGATTTATTTATTTCATAGCAAATACCAAGCGTGCAGTAAACTGCAATCTTTTGAAGTTGAGCGGCATATCTATTGCAATTAGTGAATTCGAGATAGCAACATACTTCGCCGTAATAAGCGTATTTCAAATAAATTGTTGTGTTCTTTTTTAGTGTTAGCCTAAGGCGTTGTGGGTCAATGGTTCTTATTAAAATCATATCCCAATCTGGTCCGATTTAAATATAATTTTAAAAAAATTACTTTTACACCAAACTCCGCCACACCTTTCATATTTCATTGAAATTGGTGCGTCAAAATGTGAAATCGGCCGATAATATATATATATGGGAGCTATATCCAAATCTTAACAAATTTCCAATTAATTTGTCACATTTATTATTGTAACCAAATTCCGCCACACATTTTGAATTTCATTGGTATCGGTCATATATATCATGTTTGGTGCATAACATGTATGAAATGGGTCGAAATATACAAACGTCAATTGATTTTAATATAATTTGGCAATTTTTTCTGGTGCCTGATTTTGTCTCTCTCGCTTTGGGTGCATCAAATATGTGAAATCGGCTGAGTAGAAATATGGGAGCTATAATCAAATCTGAGCGTATTTGAATATAATTTGTCAATTTTATTTTTGTACCAAATTTAGCCACTCATGCCGAATTTCATTGGAATCGGATATACGTATCGTGTTTTGTGCATCAAATATGTGAAATCGGCGGAAAATATATATGGGAGCTATATCCAAATCTGAACCGATTTTAATATAATTTGACTAATTTATTTTCTAATCAAAATCCCGATACATATTCCAAATGTCTTTGGAATCCAACATACATATCGTGTATGGTGCATAAAATACATGAAATCGGTCGAAAATATATATGGGAGCTATATCCAAATCGAAACCGATTTTAATATAATTTGACAAATGTATATTTGTTTTAATTTCCGCTACACATTCCAAATGTCATTGAAATTAGAGATACATAGCGTGTTTGGTGCATCAAATACATGAAATCGGTCGAAAATATATATGGGAGCTATATCCAAATCTGAACCGATTTCAATTTAATTTGACAAATTCATTTTGCCTCCCAATTCCGTTACTTATTTTAAATTTCATAACAATTGGAAATACATATCGTGTTTGGTCCACCATACATGAAATCGGCCGAAAATGTATATGGGAGCTATATCCAAATCTGAACCGATTTCAATATAATTTGTGAAATAAATTTTTTAGATAAAATCTATCACACGTTTCAAATTTCATTGAAATTGGGGATACATAGCGTGTTTGGTGCATCAAATGCTTGAAATCGGCCGAAAATATATATGGGAGCTATATCCAAATCTGAACCGATTTCAATATAATTTGACAAATTTATTTTCGGATTAAATCCCGTCACACATTCCAAATTTCATTGGAATCGAACGTTCATATTGTGTTTGAAGCATCAAATAAATTAAATCGGTCGAAAATATATATGGGAGCTATATCCAAATCTGAACCGACTACAATATAATTTGGCAAACTTATTTTTGTTCCAAATTCCGTTACGTATTCCAAATTTGGAGACTGTATCTTGAACCAATCAATAGATATGTGCATATAAAATCTAAATTTTTGGGAGGTACCTCCGATTCTGATGATATATCTCCAGTTCCAAGTGGAAATTCAAAAATGTATATAGCCTATGTTACTTTCAGGCGATGTTGCAGTATATAATGGAAAATCTATTCAGCGGTTTTCGGGTCCATAAATTACAAACAAACAAACATATAAACATTTTCCTCATTTATATATATATATATATATATATATATATATATATATATATATATATATATATATATATATATATATATATATATATATATATATATATGTGTAGATCAAAAAAAATCCTTCAGAGTCTAGAGTATTTTGGAAAGCATGGTTGGCACTAAAAAACAAAGTGTCGATCACCCAAAGCAAGCGCTTCACAGGGAATGGACCAAAATACATTCGGGCAGCGTGTGACGGTTTCATTGGGCGTTTGAAGGCGATAATTCGTGCCAAAGGTGACCAATTCGAACAAATCTAAACTTATTCTAAAATTTGATGCTATTTCTGACATTTGTTGCTTTCATTCAATAAAATTAAAGGAAAAAATGTAAAAATTATGGGGTTTGACTTTGTTGCAGTTTTTTATGTTACCCTGTATCTGCATTAATTTTTTTCTCGAGCTTAAAAATTTCATTTTAACCCTTAAAATACGCCAAAAGTGGATTAAAAACGTGAACAGAGGGACTATGTAAAACAGAGGGACTATTTCGACATTTGTATACCCTCCACCATACATAGTATGGAGGGTATATTAAGTTCGTTAACATAGTATATATATTCTTGATCAGCGTAAAATTCTCAGACGATTGAGCCCAGTCCGTCCGTCTGTCCCTCTGTTGTAATCACGCTACAGTCTAAACGAATTAAGATAGGAAGCTAACATTTTGCACATATCTCTCTTTTGTCTGAAGGCAGGTCACGTTTGAAGATGGGCTATATCGGTCCACGATATCGAATAACCCCCATATAACGGTACCCCCGATATTCGGTATTTTGATGATGTTAGCCACATTTTCCAATGGAATTGTCTGAAAATCCTCACAAGCAGTTCCTTGTGGGTACTTTATACCTTGGCAGAGAATTATCTATATAGGTCCACAATATCGTATAGCCCCCATATAACGATATCCCTACGGTATTCGGTATTTTGATGATTTTAGCCGCATTTTTCAATGGAATTGTCTTAAAATCCACACAAGTAGTTCCTTGTGAGTACTTTACCTCCTGATAGAGTATTGTCTATACAGGTCCACGATATCGTATATCCCCCATATAACGGCACCCCCGATACTCTGTATTTTGATGATTTTACCCACATTTTTCAACGGAATTTTCTGAAATCCCACATAAGGTGTCCCTTATGAGTATTTCACCCCCCGAGAGAGAATTGTTTATATAGGTCAACGATATCGTATATCGCCTATATAGCGGTACCCCCCGACATTCGGTATTTTGATGATTTTAGCCATATTTTTCAACGGAATTGCCTGATAATCCACACCAGGAGTTCTTTGTGGGTACTTTATCCCTTGGAAGAGAATTATCTATAAAGGTTCACGATATTGTATAGCCCCCATATAACGTTACCCTCCGATTTTCGGTATTTTGATGATTTCACCCACATTTTTCAATCTGAAATTCCACACAAGGTGTTCTTCGTGAGCACTTTACCCCCTGACAGAGAGTTCTCTATATAAGTTAATCATATCGTATAGCCCCCATATAACGGTACCCTCCGATATTCGGGATTTTGATGATTTCAGCCACATTTCTCAATAGAATTATCTGAAAATCCACACAAGGAGTTCCTTGTGAGTACTTTACCCCCAGACATAGATTTGTCTATATAGGTCCACAATATCGTATGTCCCCCATATATCGGCACTTTCCGATATCAGTTATTTTAAAGATTTTAACAGGATTGTCAATGGATTTTATTTTATTTTTTTAAATTTTCTAATTCGTTACAAATGGTGGAGGATATTCAAATTTTGGTCCGGCCGAACTCATTGCTTTTATACTTGTTTACATGTAAGGAGGTATTGTACTCATAGTAAATGCCGAACTGCACCAACATATGTTTGTACGAATATCTGACCATTGGCACCCTCAAAAGCAGTTGGCCAAAAGCAGACCATCTCGAACTATGTCTGCAATATGTCGATATGATATCCTTGGACCAAATGGCTTTGAGAGCTTTCCCGAGCACCCGAGCAGATGAACGGACTGACTGACGAGATTGGATAGAGTTTATACTACCTTAAACTGTTTTCATATACAGAAACATGGGATATAAAACCGAAATGGTTATCTGGCTTATCTACGACTTCGAAATAAGTATGATAAAAATATTACACTAGCCGCTCAGAAAGATAAATCGGCTAGATAGACTCCCAATGATATAATACAGATTTCGTCCAAAGAGGTATCATGGGAACATAATGTTGAGGGTAAAGCAAAAATTAATTTCTAGCCTAGGTTCTACAAATGAATTTTAATGAAAAGGAATAAATTTACATTTTCCAGTGGACTTGTTGCAGGGCAACCGTGTGAATGGAGGCTTGCTCCCACAATCGAATCAGCTTACAACAAGATTTTGCACAAATGTCTTGTTAACCAAAAATACCACCCATTACATGAAATGCTAACCACCCCCTTTGAATAATAACCAGATATAACATTACCTTTAACATAACGCTAACATAAGTCTGTGCACTGCTTCTGTTATGGTGGAACACAATCCACAACAGTCAAATGGAAACCAATAAGAGAATCCTACCAGCGAGAGAGGCACATAAGAGAAAACCCAATTGTCACCTCAGCAACCTGCTGAGTCGTGTGATGATAATAAATTGCATGTCTGGTGGTGGATACGAGCAACCAACCCAACTGTGCAATTGGCCCAGTGTTGTTGATGGTCGGAAGGAATCCATGGATGGATGGGTGGATGAATGGATGTGTGCCGCAACAATTTGAAAATGTAAACAAAACAAAAATCTCTGCCGCTCTCCGGCCAAAACAATGTGGGATGTAGGAATGTTTTGGCTGGCTGCCTGCCTGCCTGCCTGGCGGTGAGTTTTGTTTTGGCCCAGAGAGTAGGTTAATGTATATGGGAGAGATAGAGAGAAGTTTGTGTGCATGTTCGTTGTGATGTGCATTCTTGTTGTTTGCTCGTTGGTTAGTGCCACCACACACCAGTGTTGGGAAATTGTCTTTAGCATCCAGTATTAATTGAGCTCTCGTTTGATAAACAACGGTACGGTCGTCGTTGTTGTGTTTTTTTTCTCTGAATTTGCTGTTGTTGTTGTAGGCGACTCGTTTTTCTGTGCCCCACACAAAAAATATATACGAATGCAAGAAAGTTGCGCGTTAACGAAAAGAGATTGTTGCCGGTAAAAACTAAACGCTATTTTACGGACGGAAGGAAGAAGGACTTGAGCGCCAAGTCCTTGTTTTTACGGAAATTGAAGTGGTGAATTATCATCCGACGGTGGTGTAAAGTAATTCAACACATGCTGCCAACTTGTGTCGGCAAAGGATAACTGCTGCTCACATCGTCAAGTTAGTTTGTTCGGAGTATGAGCAGGAAGAATATTCGTTGAACGCTAGATATCCGTGTCCGTCGTCGTCGTCTCCGTCGTTGTTGTCGTCGTTTAAAGTGTTGCGAATAATTCATTTGGTTATTATTTGCGTTCATTCGCTTGCTGTTGCCCAGAACTACGGCAGCATTTGATGGTTAAGGATGCAAAAATGACTTTGGCGGATGCTGGCCGGAAATGAAAGAATAATAGGAAAAATTTATTTTTCCATCAAAACAAAAAATCGAAAAGTGTGAAGAAAAGTATTGAAACACAATTGCTGTGCCATTGAATGTTAAAAAAAATTGTTGAGATTTTTTTGCAAAACAAAAACAAAAAAACAAAAACAAAAAAAAATTGTGAATTTTTGCTAGACATTGTGTCTTTGAAAGAAACCCCCATAGAGTGCAGCTGCAAGTGATGTCCATCAATTGGGTCTGATGGTGTTAAAATTATCGCGTGCTTGGAATTGATGTTCCATTATCATGTTGCAGGCTTTGTTGGCTGCCTTTAAGTCTGGTTGAACAATCCATCGCTGCCGTCGCCCCTCCCCCTGCAGCAAAATATATGCAAATTCTTGTTGTTTTTGTCGTTTTTGGTTTCGGTTTATGTTTTTACCGGTTTTACGGCAGTTGCATTTGAACAAATAAACAACAAAGTGTTTTGCATTTTTTTTACGGTGGAAAACGTGTCTAGTTTTCGCCAAGAGAGCATAACGGCGGAAACTGAGGGCCAGAGACCCCAGTGAGTGTCATTGATAGCCTTAACACCTTTGAAATTGGAATTGTTGTCAGTGGAGCGTAAATTTGAAAAAATACCAGAGAATTTTGTGTTAATTTAATAAAAAAAAAAACGGAAATTGTCAGTGTTTTAAAAATGGTAATCTAGTATTGGAAGCAAAACGAAAAAATCAGAAGAAAACAAAAATTTGAAAAAAGTGTCAAAATAAAAAAAAATATTTTTTTTTGTGAAAAAAAAAATTCTGCCACAGACAACCTGAAATAAAAAACAAAATTTTGTGCAGCCACGTGCACGTGTTTAAAAACGGGAAACACACACAAGTTTTTAATTAATTTCCATACCAACCACGGGCTCCAAAAACCACCACTAACGCAACTGAACAGCCAGCCAGCCAGCCATCATTATGGCTTCTTTGCGAAGCTTTTCCTGGTGTTTTCTAATTGTGGCCCTGTTCCAGCTCCTCACCACCACCACCCGAACATGGGCTCTCAAGTCTTCCTCATCGTCTAACAACAACAATGATCCCTGTTATTTTGAGGGTAAACCGCGAAAATGTTTACCCAGTTTTGTAAATGCTGCCTATGGTAATCCGGTGGTGGCATCCTCCACCTGTGGCACACATCAGGCGGAACGTTATTGTGAACTGAAAAGGGATGGTACATTGGAGGAGTGTAAAACGTGTGACAACTCAAGGCCGGACATGAGATTTCCAGCTTCCGCATTGACAGATTTAAATAATCCCAACAATGTAACCTGCTGGAGATCGGCAGTGGTCCCAGTGCCCTCTGATCCCGATTCGGCACCACCTGACAATGTCACCCTAACCTTGTCTTTGGGTAAAAAATATGAGCTAACCTATGTCAGCTTGTCATTCTGTCCCAAATCACCAAAACCCGATTCCATGGCCATCTATAAAAGTTCCGACTATGGGCAAACATGGCAACCCTTTCAGTTCTACAGTTCTCAGTGCCAGAAATTCTATGGACGTCCAGACCGGGCCAAAATAAGCAAATTCAACGAACAAGAAGCCAGATGCATGAACTCCCATCATGATGGCAACACCAATCGTTTCGCCTTCAATACCCTGGAGGGTAGGCCATCGGCAAATGATTTGGACTCCTCCCTGGTGTTACAGGATTGGGTAACGGCCACCGATATCCGAGTGGTATTCCATCGTCTGGAGCTGCCCAAAGAACTGCTAAATGCCCATTTGAAATCCGACCTTAAGCCAGATGCCAATAGTTTCAGTGACGAAATGTCCACCAGCCAGGAGGAAGAGGATGACGATGAAGAAGATGATGACTCGGAAGATGTCGAGGATGAATACGATGACTACAATATTCATGAAAATGACAGTGTAAACTATGATGATTTGGAGGATTATGCCGAGCCCAAGAAACATCTGGAATTGGATGATCATCTGGACATGGACTATGCCAATGATGGTGGGATAAACATAACCCCGCTGAAGACCAAGCGTATTTCCCAGAAACAAAAATCATTGGCCTATGAGAAGCATTACAAGGCCAAGGCAGCCAATTTGGCCATGGCCAGTTCCACTGTTTCAACGGTGAGTGGCAGCGGCAGCGGAAGCAGCATTAGTTCTTCAACCACAAATAAACCCCAAATTGTGGCCGCTTCCAAATATCAACAAAAACCCGGCTCCTCCTCCTCGGATAAGTCTTCCTCGGCCGCCATTGCCTCGGCCTCGATACGTGATCTGTTGGCCGTCTCCCAGCATTATGCTGTATCCGATTTTGCCGTTGGTGGACGTTGCAAATGTAATGGCCATGCCTCGGAATGTGTGGCCGTTGTGAGTTCTAATGAAGCTAATCTCTTTAGTCATGATGATGACAATGGTGGTGGCGGTGGTATGGGCTCCGAATCTTTAGACGATGATGGCAATATAATACGTTCATCGTCCAATTCGAATACTGGCCTGGCGATAAATGCCAAATTGACAATGACCTGTTCCTGCAAACACAACACAGCCGGACCGGAATGTGAGAGATGCAAACCGTTTTACTTTGATCGACCATGGGGACGTGCCACCGACACGGATGCCAATGAATGTAAAAGTAAGTAAAGTCCAACGTTTTTATTTACCCCTCACCTCCCCCGAAAAATTAATAATGATTACCAAAGTGAGTGAATTTTTGCGATTGATAACGAAGTTGGGTAGTTATGATGGACTGACTGACTGACTAACTTTGCTTTGGCTTTTGTTTGTTTGTCTTCTTTGCCATTGTCCTGGGTTCTTTAGCAGGTCATCACATCTATCAACTTCCTCCATATGTCGCTGTTGGTTCTTAGTTTCCTCCGCTTTTTGTTCTTCTACTTCTTCGTCTGTTTGTTTTCATGGTTTAATAGGTTTTTGCGGCCTCAAAAAGTCATTAATGCTGGCCAAATAACGAATGAAATGAAATTTTGACCGGACCATCGATTATCATGGCAGTTCAATAGGTTTTTGGTTAAGGGGAAGACAGTCAAACAGACAGTGTTTTGGGTATGGGTGTGCAGTGATTTAAGTTTTCTTTTAATGGATTTGGTGATGTGAACGGAAATATTAAAACCTAACTTAAAAGTTATAATAAATAAAATATAAAACCAATTAAATGTTACAAAATAATCATGAGTTGTTAGTTTTTGAGATAAAAATTTGAAAAATAAAAAATGAATTTTAATTAATTTGAATCCATAAATATGCTTTAAATTGAAGGGAAGTGACAGATAAATTTGTAATAAATTCCAACACTAAAAGGGTTGTGACTTTGTGAGACATAGAAGTCGGCTGTTAAAAGTAAAGGTGTCAGAAAACTGCAGTCATATGAAATCAAATCTGGTCGTGCAGATGCGGGGCTAGTTTAAGAGAGGAAATTAATTTCCATTTGATACTGTTTTCTAGCTAGTAAATTATGAAGAAAAAATTAAAAATTCTTTCACCATTTTTTCAATGATAATTTCTATGGCTTTTTAACCCAAATTTATAATATGTCAATGCGAAAAATATTTTTAAAATTAAACCAGTAAAGAAAGTCCTAAAGTCGGGCGGGGCCGATTTTATGATACCCTACACCACTTTGCTAATTTAGTTGAGCTCCACTTAATAATTAAAAGTTTTTATGGGAGAATTCAATCATACACGCTATGATTATAATTATAATTTAAAATTCAAAGGACTAAATATGCCGAAGCATTTGTATCTTTTAAATTCGGACTTGTATTGCCCATTTGGTGCGAAATTAATTTGAAATCGGATATGGAAACTATATCCAAATCTGAACCGATCTTGATAAAATTTGGAAAAGATATTTCTGAGCTGTATTTGATATATTTCCCTGAATATCGTTGTTACGGAGTGCGTATTACGGCTGTGGGTAACAAATACAACAAATCGGATGAACAATATATATGGGAGCTATAACTATATCTGAACCGATCTTCACCAAATTTGGCACACTACCTTCTAGACTAAATTCGGTCGTATGTGCCAAATTCCATCCCATTTGGACAAATATTAGACGTTTGGTGCACAATAAATGGTAAATCGGACGAAGTTATATATGGGAGCTATATCCAAATCTGAACCGATCTCGATAAAATTTAGCAAAGGTATTTCTGAGCTGCATTTGATATATTTCCCCAAATATTGTTGTTACAGAGTGCATGTTACGGCTGCGGAGGACAAAAATAACAAATCGGATGAACAATATATATGGGAGCTATAGCTATATCTGAACCGATTTCGATAAAATTTGGCATACTTATTTTCAGGCCTAATTTGGTTGTATGTGCAAAATTCCATACTATTCGGGCTGATATTACACGTTTGGTGCACAATAAAAGGCAAATCGGACGAAGATATATATGGGAGCTATATCTAAATTTTTACCGATTATCTCCAATTTCAATAGGGTTCGTCCATGGGTCAAACAAATGATTTGTGCAAAATTTCATCTGGATAGGGCAATAAATGCGAACTGTACTTTGTTTACAAAAATACATGGACAGACGGACAGACGGACGGACGGACAGACGGATGGACGGACGGACATGCATAAATCGACTCAGAATGTGATTCTATGCAGATCATCAAAAGGAACTGTGGGTCTATCTCGTTTCCTTTTGCCTGTTACAAACAAATGCACAAAGACATAATACCCTGACCACCTAGTGGTGTAGGGTATAAAAAAGTAAAAAACACATTGGTTTTAAAGCCAAATTAAATTTGGTGGGAAATCTGACAGAAAATAATTCTTTTTCCCAAAAAAAGAGGAAATGATGTCTTCTTTAATTGGTACATTTTTTCATTGTCATTCAATTCATGATGCAATGAGAATAAAACATTAATATCTTTGTTTATTCATATATTATTATTATGGCTTCCACATTGGAAAGGAGGGTATAATACTTCTCATTCCATTTGTAACACCTCTAATTATTTGTAATAGACCCCATAATTTATATATATTCATTCATATTTATTAGTGCAGAAAGATAGTAATGTTTACCAGGGTGTAAGGCAGGGGATGCGTAGATTTCGGAAATTAGTTTATTTTTATTTTGTCACAATTCTTACAAGTGTTTAAAAAGATAAGATGCAAATGTGTAGAAAAAATCGAATATTTTTAATAGAAAACAAGTTATTAAAATATGGGTACAAAATAAGAGCATAAAGCTTCCTTCGGTCATATCAGCAATTTTTAGTATTTGAAAAAAAAAAATCAAACGAATGAGAGTATTGTGTTGTTTAAAATCACAAGTTTTTTTCTGTTTGGTTTGTTATAAACGGTAACATTCGATTTAAAGGATTTCGATTGGTTCGTAGGAAATTTCTCGATTTTTATTAAGTTATTTATTTGTTCGTTATATAAATTATATTCAATAATGTATTTTTTTACTTGTTAAGGATTCAACGAAATAACAAGTAAAAAACATTTTGTTCGATCGGGCAGCATTTTTTATGTCCTCCACCTTACCTGCAGGAAATCATTTTTATATAATAGTATCTGAATTCAAACGTGTTCCACTTTAAACTACAAATACCAGTAAGACCGTTTGGATCATCCTGTTAAACTTTTTAAGAAACCATATAGTGTCGAGGCCGCTATATGGGGGCTATACTAAAACGGGAGCCCATATAGGTCATTTTTGTACTTCCAGGATTGCCATCTACCAAATCTTTTTAAAAACCAAATTTGAAACAATTTCGTGGGTAAAAGTGACAAGGTTATCAAAATACCGAATATGTGCGTTACATGTTAGGAAAGCGTGGACTTAAATTTTGAATGTTCTGCGGCCGGTGCTAGAACCCATTATGAACTACAAATGTAAATTTTAAGACAAAACCGTGGAAAAATGTGGTAAAAATCATAAAAATAACGAATATCGGGAGGTCCTCCACCATTTTAAAGAAACTTGAAAAATTAAAAAAAAAATCCGTAGAAGAATACATCTCAAACGAAATCCTTATATGGAGGCTATACGAAGACGTTTTCCTTTATAAATAAAATAAAGTCATAGGCTATAGTATCGATTCCGAACAATTCCGGTGAGCAATGACACTAAAACCATCCAAATATCGAAAATCGGGAGGTATTGCTATATGAGGGCTATACGAACACGTGAACCTGCATACGCGATTGTTTGTCATAGGCTGTAGTACCATAAGTAAAACAAATTCATAGCCTGTAGTTCCAATTCCGAACTTCAAATAAGAAATTTAAAACAATTCCGGTGAGTAATGCCGCTAAAATCATTCAAATACTGAAAATCAGGAGGTATTGCTATATGTGGGCTATGCGAAGACGTGGACCTGCCAGACAGACGGACATCGCTAAATCGACATAGAATTTAACGCTGATCAAGAATATATATACTTTGTTGTGTGTGACATGAGAATTTAGAGAATAATAATGACATTTCATATTGGCTTTAAAATAGGAATTTTAATTTACGAAACAAAAAATCGCATTCTTTTGGGTTAGCTTGGTCGCTGACATAATAAGTATAATTTTGAGAAAATCCCTTTCCATCGATCAATTTCAGTTAGTATTTCTCTCTAACAATGCTAGTTACACATTGGATTTAAATTTCATTCCTAGAAATTCGCGAAAGGGGCAAGTCTCAGATAATCGGAAAATCCCATTGTCAGGACATTTTTGTCACTATATGTATGTTATGAAAATTCTACTTGAGAAATAAGCTCGTGACTCTGTTACTATAATTTGCGCGATATTTTTCGCAGATTTGGAAAATTACCGAGTACCTCGGTTTCGTATCTTCCAACACCTCCCCATAAAAGTTTGAAGTTTTGAACAAAAATACAATGTTGCACTTACACAGCTACCATTAAATTCTTATCAGGTCAAATTTAATAGTATTTGGGTGTATTATTTGCAATTATATCCATTTTTTTAAATGTTAAAATTAATTAAAAAATGCTTGTTTAACATAAGTCAAAAATTAGGTTAACATGTGTTGAACATTAATATGGAAAAAAAATCTTAAACTCTCATTTAAAATAAAGCAAATAACCCAAATAACCCAAATCTGATTCATAGGTGAAGTGATTTTCAATTCTTAAGTCATAGATGAGATGCGAAAACATATAATATCCGTTTATTTCTATTGATAACTTTTTCACCTCCTCCTCATTGCCATAAGTCAGGAGCGAAAATTTATTTCTTCTATTTTGCGGTTAATATGGTGCTTTATGGCATAAAACTTTCATAAATATTCAATATTCTGCTCCAGAGCTAGAACCCGGTATGAAATCCAAATACAAATTTTTAGAAAAATTTGTGGCAAAAATCATCAAGATACTGAGGTAAAATTTAACTCAACTTATTTCTAAATATTACTTTTCCAAAAAAAAAAAAAAAAATTAAATTAAAAAAAAACATTTTGAGGAAGATTTATTGCAAAAAATTTTGGTTGCGCCATCCGAAATAGCAGAACATTTATTGCATTCCTGACCTACTATAAATATCTTCCACAAATTTGTTGGATTTTCCGTAAAATAATTTTCATTAGATTTCCTCCCGCCACAGACACACAGTGCAATCGTCTGTGCTTA